GAGAGAGAGAGAGAGAGAGAGAGAGAGAGAGAGAGAGAGAGAGAGTAGGGGGCTTAGATGGAAGGAGGCAGAGTGCAAGTATGGTGAAACTTGGGCCGGGGAGGAAGAGGAAGACATCTGCGGCCTAGAAGATGAGTCGGTCGACTAGGTGGGAAGTATCTATGAGAGGTTTGATCGGAAGGTTATGGATGATGGTTGTGGAGATTAACAGGGTTTGAGTATAGAGATTTAGTGAGAGAGTCTTTGATGTGATGGATTTTGTGTTCGCGACAGACATTTGTCTGATCGTAATTCGATTTGTTAATTAATCAATGACAGAGTACTTGCTGGTAATGGGTTTTCTCCCTTTCCACTGTTGTTTGAATTGGGTTAGAAAGAGTTGGTGCTCTCACGAACGGTATGGCGATGGCGGCTTTTCTGTGTGCTCGAGTGAAAGTCGTTGAAAACATTTGCGAACGGATCTGATTTCCTCGTGTCTTCACCGCCGGGACTTTCTCCGTCTCTGCATGGATGGATGTGGTTGGATTCGATCCGTTGACTTGCGATGCAAGCTGCTGGTGATGGAATCCCTCTGTCTGGACGCCGCGGTCGACATTTGAAGTGTGGGAAGAGAGTTTTGAAGTGTGAGGATAGAGTTGAGGTGGTTATGGTTCCCACCGTTTGCATCGGGAAGATGAGACTTGCCCGTTAGATGTTCGAGAGATGCAGAGATCGAACACGAAGCAGGAGGTACCGTTATTATTCTTTAGCTTGAGGGTTCAAACTCTGAGCATGAGGTTGCTATTTTACTGTAAGAGGAATGTGTCTTCTATCGTTCGAACTGGCGACAAGGAGAGGGAGGCGGTTCTGATGACGCAATAGTGACTTGTTGTATTCTTCAGGGTGAAGTGGTGTTCGAACCAAGGTGGTTTGATTCATACTCTTTTTAAGTAGGAGGGTTTGATTGAACTCTGAGCTGAAGGTTGCTATTTTTAACTGTAAGGATCGTGGCTCGTATGGTTCGAACTGGTGATAAGGAGAGGTGGAGAGGGTTATGATGACGCAATAGGGACTTGTTTGGATTGACCAGGGTGAAGGGGGGTTCGAACGGTTGTGGGTTGATTGTGAGACCGATAGTTGACATGGGTCTTTCGTCTGTTTGTCTGTAGTTTTGTAGGAGTGGGATTCTTTTTTAGAGGGAAGTTTTTCTTTTCTTTTTTAGTTTTGAAGTTTCTCCCTTTTGTGGGTGGGGGCTGATGGGATTCTCGCGAAAGGGGGTGGGAAGGCGGGGGAGGGATGTAATCTTAATTTTTTCTCCGTGCTCATATGTTAGCGTCGGATTTCATTTGATCTCGTTTTGGAACTTTTTGGTTGACAAGTTATTAAATTCTTTCCCCGCGTTTCAGCATTAGAAATGAAACCGATGCTCAAACGAAGAAAGCAATCGAGTTTGCTATCACAGTACGTTTTGCAGCGGGGAATTCCCGCCACCCTCTCCTCCCGAGCTCCCCCTTCCCTCCCCCTCCCCACCTGTGCGTGCTCGCATACGCTTTTCGGGTGGTCGGAGCCAAATTTCTTATGAGGACGTTTCTTGAAACCGATGCCGCCAATGAAGAAGGCAATCGAGTTAAAGAAGGAAAAGAAGGCAATTGAGTTCACTGTGACAGTAGTGTTTGGAGCAGAGAATTCCCGCCACCCTCTCTGCACACCGGTGCGCGCGCATTTTTATGGTCGGAGCGAAATTTGTTGTGAGGATTTTTGTTGAAGTTTGGACTCTATTCTTTAAAAAATTCTTCTTTCCCCTCCCCTCCCCCCCCCC